GGCCTGGCCATGCGAAAATATTAGTTTTCTCTTGCGTTGAGGTACAACCGACCGTGAGTCACGAGTGCCTACACCAAAGGTAAAAGGGTTGAGGATCGTCAGGTTTTCTGCACTATTATCGATATCCTGGTCATTCCTTTCGGTCACTAACTGATCAAAGCCAAGAATTCGTCTTCTTTTCCACTTCCGTCAGTGTCAGAACTATCAGATAGGAAGAGGAGAGTCCCAATTTTCCGGGGAGTGAGAGCTGACTTGCGACGAGGCATGGTGAACAAGGGTAACTGAGCCGGCGTTCCAACAATGCTATGCGGGCGCCTAGATTTTTTGTTTATGGCGCACACCCACCACGCAGACCCGTTCTCTCACATGTAGGCCTATGAGCACTTTCGCGCTAAATTTGACAGCGCTAGAATTTTGGCATAGATCTACGGTTTGGACACTCAACGTGAAGCCGTAGATCTACGGGATGGACCCTGAAAGGGTTAAATTCTGAGAGTTAGCCTCCAACACACTCCTGGTGTTTGAAATAAGGATTGCCACCACCTTCTGTACCTCAACCAGATGACCCATGACTCAGTGATATCTAATCTGATAAGATACTCACCAAAAATATTGGCTATACAATTAATTATTAATTATATAATTTTTTCTGAATTGATTAAACTTAAATCACCCATTGAAGTGTTATTAATTACATTTTAAGTTACACTCAGGCCCCCTGAATTGAGAGCTTTTTATGTTAACATTTTTTAAAATTTTGGAAAATTTAGTTTATTAAATAAACTCCTGAGAAAGGAATTTGATGTGTTAAAATAGGTAAATTTTCTTTGGAAAACCTTTTAAAACACACTATAGGGGGGAAAAGTTTAATTTTATTTAGGATTCCCCTTTAACCCTGCAAAGGGTTGTTTTTTTTGGGGTTTCCAAAAAAATTGGTCCCGGGGTTTATTTTTACATTTATTTTATAAAGTAAAATTTTTTTAAATTTTTACCCCATATTGTTAATTGGTTTCCATTTGGGGCGGGGTATTTGCTTTTTTCCATCAGGTAAATTTTCTAATACTTCCATATTCTTTCCCTCTCATCTCTGACTCTCTTCCCCCTTCCTAATCCTCTATCACTCCCCTTTCCTTTTTTCCCCCCTGTCGTCTTTGTGTATATATGGGGACAGCGTCATAGTGTGTTTTCCACCTAGGGTACTCCAAAGAAAGAGAACACGTACACCATCATTTATTCAACTGCTGTCTTGCCAGAAGTAGTTGGCTGTTATAATTCAGTTGACCCATTGAATAGCAATATCTCACCCTTCCTTCATTTATTTACTTATTTTTAAAAATGTCCCATACCTTTAATATCTTTATAGCTTGTAAGATAATGGGGAAGCCAGAGAATGAGGTCAATACAAGACTAATTTCTAAAAGTATTTCTTGAGATATGATTAGATGAAGAATAAGAGTATTAGGGGCTGAGATTCTCTTACTTGATTACATGGTGCTTGACATTTTCTTGATGTACTTTTCTGTGTTATAAAATTTATTTAGAAATAATTATACTGTATTGTATTATGTTTATTAGTATTACTCATTTTCATATGAAACCCTTGTGTAAATATTGAATTTTTGTTTATATATGGGATTAGAGGCAATAAGGTACAGGTTGGCCATCACAAATCCGCAGTCAGTCATCTGGTTCCATCAGTTATCTGGCACTAATTTCGGCTAGCATAATTTCAAATTTTCAGGGTCGCCACACCAACCTGCTGCTACTGTTTGGTGGTGCTACTTGCTGCACAAGTCATTCCAATTTCTTTTTCTCCATTTATTGTTATAACCTGCTTGCTTTTAGCCCTAACCATGGTTCCAATGAATAAAATAAATGCTTCTCATTGTATAAAACACATACACAGTACATTGTCCATAAAAGATAAGGTGGCTTTGAAGCCACTGTCGGTTGCCATGAGCTCAGTCTCGTGATGCAGGGGAATATACTTTGTTATTACGCTAATATCAACACTACAGCTTATTTACCTATCAAAATTGATCTGATATGACATAATAAACACTATAAATACAGTGGAACCTTGGTTTCCATGATTAATTCGTTCCAGAAAGTTTGACAAAAACTGAATTGTACGAAAACTGGGGCAGACGAAATAATGTAAATCCAATTAATATGTTCCAAACTCTCAAAAATATTAACAAAAAATACATTTTAGGGAGAAGAGCTATAGTTTTACATGCAGAAAACAATGAGAAATAAATATAAATGACTAAAATGAAATGAATAAATGAACATTTAACATCACTTTTACTGAAGACTTTTGTTAGCATATGGAAAATGGCGAGGAGGGGAGAGGGAGGAGAGGTTATTATTTGGAAAGGGAATCCCCTTCCATAAGGCCTTCAGGTATCAAGGCCCTATCTGGGGTTACTTCCCTTCTTTGTCTTTTACTGGCACTAGGACCAGCTTGAGAGTCACTGTACCTCTGTCGCACAAAAAATCTGTCCAGAGAGGTCTGTTTCTGGTGTCTTTCTAAGATTTGCCTAAAATGGGACAAGGCATTGTCATTGAACGTGTTGCAGACATGGCTTGCAACAGCTTTGTTAGGGTGATATTTCTCCACAAAACTTTGCAACTCACTCCACTTTGCACACATGTCCTTAATCACTGAAGAAGGCACATTCTCCCCTCTCTCTTCCTCCTCCTCTGAAGCAATTTCGTAAGCTGCAATCTCTTGCTGTTCCAGTTGAAGGTGTTGCAGCTCTTCAGTGGTTAGCTCTTCCCTATGGTCATCCACCAACTCTTCCACATCCTGGCCCCTCCCATCCAACCCCATGGGCTTCCCCAAAGACACAGTAGATTCCACAGCAGGTGTAGGGTCATCAGGGTCAGCCTCAGCTTATCAACTGACTTGCCTTTTCGCAAATTATCAACTCCAAAACACTATCTCCCACGCGGGGTGATGCTCACTCAATGATAAACAAAGGCAGACTGAGTCACTTGGTGCTTCAGTGGCTGAATGATGCAGGTGGATGCATTCAGTATGAACCATTGTCAACTCTATGAAAACCGAGGTGATGTACGAAAACTGGGACAAATTTTCGATAGGAAAAGTCGTCGAGAACCGAATCCTACGAAAACTGGGGCATATGAAAACCGAGGTTCCACTGTAACATAAAAACATGGTAAATACTCCAGAATGAATAATATTTAGCATAATACTGAGCGGTTCAATGGAGGTACGAAGAGGATGTGGGATACAAGTACCATCCTTCTATCCCTGTCTTGGGGGCTTATATTAAAGAAAAGAGAGTGTAGCACAGGGCTAACTGTGATATACACTCATAATGCACCATAAAACTGAAACAAAAAAGCTATTTTCTTTACATAGGTTATCATACATAGCAGCATATGTGTAGAGAACCTAGGATAACCCAAAAAAGTCAGACAGAGTGACTTATTTCCAGTACCTGGCTTGGGCTTGCCATGTATGATTTTTGGTAAATATTTTTTTCTCAGTTGTTTGTTGGGCTATCTTATTGAAATTTGGGCAATGTATGATGGAAAGATGCTTCTGACCGTACACCAAAAATGAAAGAAATCGGACAATAAATAACGGAGTTCACTTCTCAGCCATTGGCCACCCCTTAGCGGTACATTTTCGTATGGTTTTCATGGTTGTATTCTCGTTTTTCTAATCTCATTTGATAGAATGGAAGATATATTACAGAAATAGATATGATTTTGATTAGTTTCATGATAAAAAGTATCTTGAAACTGAGCTCAAAGTAGCGGAAATGTTCGATTCTTTGCCGATGTTCAAGAGTAAACAATGTCCAATACGTGTCTGACTGGCCAGTCTAATACGCAGTTACGAATGGGTTGACATTATTTATACAATTATTACAGTAATACAATAGTCTGTAGTCCATTTTGAATAAAAATTCAAAATGGAAAGCAAGAGTAATATATGAGGGGCCTGGAGATGTGACTAATGAACAGAGAAAATGTTATTTTAGTGCCAGGAATATCTGCATTGTTTATTCTGGACCCTATTTTGAAATTGGCATCTTTAGAAATTTGTGTGAAGTTGGCCAAGCTGCCAGTTTCTGACCCCTTTATTGGGTAGTTGAAACAGGTGAATGGGTGGTTTCTTGGACTCAGTCGGCAGAATAGAAGTAAATAAATAAGTTTATTCAGGTATACACAAATACAGTTCCATAGATTATCATACGTAGCAGCATGTGTAGAGAACCTAGAATAACCCAAAAAAGTTAGACAAAGTGACTTATTTCTACTGAGGTCCTTAAAGACCATCATGTAGTTGATGGGTTTTAACACATAATAAACCAGCTAGCCACTTTGTATAACAAACCAGAAACAAGAACAGATCTTGAAAGAACCCTTGCAAGATCTGTTCTTGCAAGAGATGCACTGAAGCGAAGGTTCAGTGCAATGTTTGTATAAACCTTACTGCATTTAAACAGCACTATAAAAGGAATACTAGTGAAATAGCTATGAGTTTGGTAGACTGGAACAATGGAATGGGCCAGAAATAGGGTGTAAATTGGGTAATCCGGCAAAGTTACTAATCCGGCACCCTACAGGTCCCGATGATGCCGGATTTGTGATGGCCTATCTGTACTGTACTGCCTTTTTAATCATTTTTAGAAAGTTTACTGGAGTTAAATGGTATAAAGATGCATGTGCAAAATATGAGTAATTTTGATTTAGGAAATGTTTTGCTCACCATCTATTGAAGAAGCCCTGGGCAGGCAAAATGTCTCCTATATAAATGTTTTCCATATATTGCAGGTGACTTTTTTTATATATTTGCTGGTACTAGTTATGTACCTTGTGTAATATGCCAGAGATAGCTCTGCTGTAAGGAAACGCTAGCAGTTACTGGCATATGAAAATTTTGCATTTTCAGCTGAGAATAATTAACAGTCACTTAAGAGTATATGTTATCCTTTTCTGTTCATGGTACCATTTTTCAGGTCAATTTAGGTGGCACCTTCAATGTGATCCGCCTTTCAGCAGCAGTAATAGCTGAAAATGAACCAGATGCAGATGGACAGCGAGGTGTTATAATTAATACTGCAAGTGTTGCTGCCTTTGATGGCCAGATTGGGCAGGCAGCATATGCAGCCAGCAAGGGAGGTATTGTGGGCATGACTCTCCCTATTGCCCGAGACCTGGCACCCATGGGCATCAGAGTTTGCACAATTGCACCAGGTACGTGAAATGCTGCCTTTTAAATACTGTATTTTGTGCTGTTTATATACAATGCAGTATGTATTTTCCAGTCTTTTAAATATAATATGTAAACTTGTTATAGGAAATTGTTTATTGGTTTACAATTCATGCTAGTGTACTTTTTGTTAAACAACAGCTTAACTTTTGCAATATTCACTTTATATTATGTAGTACATATTCTCACTCATCCTCATGCTCACTCACACACTCACTTATTCACACTCATTCACACCTACTCTCCTTTACCTTTGATGAGTTTCAAGAATTTCTCTAGTCCTGGAGCCTGGCCTTGGGCCAGGCTTATGTGGCAGCAGCAGCAGGTTGCTGCTGCTGCTGGCCAGCTGGCTCACATATCCATCACAGCCTGGTTGATCTGGCAACTGGTAAAGATATTTGTCCAGTTTCCTCTTGAATACCTTTATATCTGTCCCAGCAGTGTTTCTGATATCTTCTGGTAAGATGTTGAATAGTCTGGGGCCATGGATGTTGATAAAGTGTTCCCTTATTGCAACCATGGAGCCCATGCTTTCATTGGATTTATTTTGCCACATTTACACTCACTTTCATTCACACACACACAAGAGCTACAAAGAGAGGCTAAAGGAATTGAATCTAATGACCATGGAGGACAGAATGAACAAGGGAGACATGATAACATTATAGTTTTAAGAGTAGGTATGACAGGGCCCATGTGGCTAGGAGAGAGTAAATCTGGCAAGTTGAGAGGCAGGGCCAGGAGCTAAGACTTGACCCCCTGCAACCTCATATGTGTGTTTTCAAACCTTTTCTTTCAAATTACAGCTATGTAATTGCAACACATTTAGGTTTCTTCACCTCTGTATATGAGCTATACTATTTCTTTCTACAGATGCCTCAGCACACCAGCTACCTCTTTTCCCTATTATCTATTCCATGGTTCACCATAGAATATATGCATTAATTTAAAAATTTGTTATTTTTTGTTATCTCTGAATTACGTACAATACTTTTGCAAGTTTTGATTGCTTCTAGTCATGATATTAAACCACTAAACAACATATCTGGAGTCATCATACCTGGAGTCATCTGGTATTTGCATTATACATAGATAATCTGAGGACTTTAATGACCTCTTCAATTGTAAAAATACTTTAATGCAAATTTGTACTCTATTATTGAACCAAATGGAAATTTTTGAAGGTGGTCAAATCAGATATCTTTTTTCATATATAAATAAGGAACACTACATATAAATAAGGAACACCCTAATTTGTATTCTTTGTATATCTTGATCAAAGAAATTAGAGCTGCCTTCCTTTTCCTTAAATCAAGCCTGACTACTACTATTCTCCAGGAACTGAATGATAATTATGGGGATTTGCAATAATCATTTATTTTGTAAGTAGGCTTTGCTTTAATGTATGTTAGCCATCATTCACCTCTACATAGGCAACACATGACACAGTGATAATAATAGTCAGTGTTGTTAGGATTGAGGTTGGAGAAAACTGTCCATTGCAAAATACTACTCTTGTCTGTCCATAACAAATGCATATGTCTTTAGTCATATAAATCTAAATATATTGTATCTACAAGTTTTATAATCTGCATTACCAAAGATTTTAAGATTCACATCACAACACACATTATGCATTTCATATTTTCCAGGTTTGTTTAAGACTCCATTATTGATGAGCCTTCCAGAAAAAGTACAAAACTTCTTGGCCAAAACGATGCCATTTCCTCAGCGTCTGGGTAACCCTGATGAGTATGCCATGATGGTTCAGGCAATCATCACAAATCCAATGATGAATGGAGAGACTATTCGTGTAGATGGTGCCATTCGAATGCAACCCTGAGTTTCTGTGAATCTCCTTGTCATGTTACTGGTAATACTCTATACCTAAATATCATTTGTAAAATATTTTTGTAGAGAAGTTTGAGAATTTAGCCACTCAGACCTTTTCATTTTGACATGTTTTCTGCTTCACAATTAGTTGTTTATGCAAAAGTTATTTTTGACTTCTTGTACTTCTAATTTTAATAGTTCATAATGATTTATAACATTAATGTAAATTCTTATAATTTTTATTATTTTTTTTTATTAACACACTGGCCGATTCCCACCAAGGCAGGGTGGCCCGAAAAAGAAAAACTTTCACCATCATTCACTCCATCACTGTCTTGCCAGAAGGGTGCTTTACACTACAGTTCTTAAACTGCAACATTAACACCCCTCCTTCAGAGTGCAGGCACTGTACTTCCCATCTCCAGGACTCAAGTCCGGCCTGCCGATTTCCCTGAATCCCTTCATAAATGTTACTTTGCTCACACTCCAACAGCACGTCAAGTATTAAAAACCATTTGCCTCCATTCACTCCTATCAAACACGCTCATGCATGCCCGCTGGAAGTCCAAGCACACAAAACCTCCTTTACCCCCTCCCTCCAACCTTTCCTAGGCCGACCCCTACCCCGCCTTCCTTCCACTACAGATTGATACACTCTTGAAGTCATTCTGTTTCGCTCCATTCTCTCTACATGTCCGAACCACCTCAACAACCCTTCCTTAGCCCTCTGGACAACAGTTTTGGCAATCCTGCACCTCCTCCTAACTTCCAAACTACGAATTCTCTGCATTATATTCACACCACACATTGCCCTCAGACATGACATCTCCACTGCCTCCAGCCTTCTCCTCGCTGCAACATTCATCACCCATGCTTAACGCCCATACAGGAGCGTTGGTAAAACTATACTCTCATACATTCCCCTCTTTGCTTCCAAGGACAAAGTTCTTTGTCTCCACAGACTCCTAAGTGCACCGCTCACCCTTTTCCCCTTATCAATTCCATGATTCACCTCATCTTCCATAGACCCATCCGCTGACACGTCCACTCCCAAATATATGAATACATTCACCTCCTCCATACTCTCTCCCTCCAATCTTTCATCACCTAATCTTTTTGTTATCCTCATAACCTTCCTCTTTCCTGTATTCACTTTCAATTTTCTTCTTTTACATACCCTACTAAATTCATCCATTAACCTCTGCAACTTCTCTTCAGAATCACCCAAGAGCACAGTGTCATCAGCAAAGAGCAACTGTGACAACTCCCACTTTATGTGTGATTATTTATCTTTTAACTCCACACCTCTTGCCAAGACCCTCGCATTTACTTCTTTTACAACCCTATCTATAAATATATTGAACAACCATGGTGACCTAGGTAGTAGGTTGGTAGACAGCAACCGCCCAGGGAGGTACTACCGTCCTGCCAAGTGAGTGTAAAACGAAAGCCTGTAATTGTTTTACATGATGGTAGGATTGCTGGTACCCATTTTTCTGTCTCACAAACACGCAAGGTTTCAGGTACGTCTTGCTACTTCTGCTTACACTTAGGTCACACTTCATATACATGTACAAGTATATATATACACACCCCGCTGGGTTTTCTTCTATTTTCTTACTAGTTCTTGTTCTTGTTTATTTCCTCTTACCTCCATGGGGAAGTGGAACAGAATTTTTCCTCTGTAAGCCATGCATGTTGTAAGAGGTGACTAAAATGCCAGGAGCAAGGGGCTAGTAACCCCTTCTCCTGTATATATTACTAAATGTAAAAGGAGAAACTTTCGTTTCTCCTTTTGGGCCACCCTGCCTCGGTGGGATACGGCCGGTGTGTTAAAAGAAAAAAAAGAAACCACGGTGACATCACACATCCTTGTCTAAGGCCTACTTTTACTGGGAAATAATCTCCCTCTTTCCTACATACTCTAACTTGAGCCTCACTATCCTCGTAAAAACTCTTCACTGCTTTCAGTAACCTACCTCCTATACCATACATCTGCAAAATCTGCCACATTGCCCCCCTATCCACCCTGTCATATGCCTTTTCCAAATCCATAAATGCCACAAAAACCTCTTTAGCCTTATCTAAATACTGTTCACTTATATGTTTCACTGTAAACACCTGGTCCACACACCCCCTACCTTTCCTAAAGCCTCCTTGTTCATCTGTTATCCTATTCTCTGTCTTACTCTTAATTCTTTCAATAATAACTCTACCATACACTTTACCAGGTATACTCAACAGACTTCTCCCCCTATAATTTTTGCACTCTCTTTTGTCCCCTTTGCCTTTATACAAAGGAACTATGCATGCTCTCTGCCAGTCCATAGGTACCTTACCCTCTTCCATACATTTATTAAGTAATAGCACCAACCACTCCAAAACTATATTCCCACCTGCTTTTAACATTTCTATCTTTATCCCATCAATCCCAGCTGCCTTACCCCCTTTCATTTTACCTACTGCCTCATGAACTTTCCCACACTCACAACTGGCTCTTCCTCACTCCTACAAGATGTTATTCCTCCTTGCCCTATACACGAAATCACAGCTTCCCTATCTTCATCAAAATTCAGCAATTCCTCAAAATATTCCCTCCATCTTCCCAATACCTCTAACTCTCCATTTAATAACTCTCCTCTCCTATTTTTAACTGACAAATCCATTTGTTCAATAGGCTTCCTTAATTTGTTAATCTCACTCCAAAACTTTTTCTTATTTTCAACAAAATTTGTTGATAACATCTCACCCACTCTCTCATTTGCTTTTTTTTTTACATTGCTTCACCACTCTCTTAACCTCTTTTTTTCTCCATATACTCTTCCCTCCTTGCATCACTTCTATTTTGTAAACACTTCTCATATGCTAACTTTTTCTCCCTTAGTACTCTCTTTACATCATCATTCCACCAATCGCTCCTCTTCCCTCCCGCACCCACTTTCCTGTAACCACAAACTTCTGCTGAATACTCTAACACTACATTTTTAAACCTACCCCATACCTCTTTGACCCCATTGCCTATGCTCTCATTAGCCCATCTATCCTCCAATAGTTGTTTACATCTTACCCTAACTGTCTCCTCTTTTAGTTTATAAACCTTCACCTCTCTCTTACCTGATGCTTCTATTCTCCTTGTATCCCATCTACCTTTTACTCTCAGTGTAGCTACAACTAAAAAGTGATCTGATATATCTGTGGCCCCTCAATAAACATGTACATCCTCAAGTCTACTCAACAGTCTTTTATCTACCAATACATAATCCAACAAACTACTGTCATTTTGCCCTACATCATATCTTGTATACTTATTTATCCTCTTTTTCTTAAAATATGTATTACCTATAACTAAACCCCTTTTTATACAAAGTTCAATCAAAGGGCTCCTATTATCATTTACACCTGGCACCCCAAACTTATCTACCACACCCTCTCTAAAAGTTTCTCCTACTTTAGCATTCAGGTCCCCTACCACACTTACTCTCTCACTTGGTTCAAAGGTTTCTATACATTCACTTAACATTTCCCAAAATCTCTCTCTCTCCTCTACATTCCTCTCTTCTCCAGGTGCATACATGCTTATGACGACCCACTTTTCGCATCTGACCTTTACTTTAATCCACATAATCCTTGAATTTACACATTCATATTCTCTTTTCTCCTTCCATAACTGATCCTTCAACATTATTGCTACCCCTTCCTTAGCTCTAACTCTCTCAGATACTCCAGATTTAATCCCATTTATTTCTCCCCACCGAAACTCCCCTACCCCCTTCAGCTTTGTTTCGCTTAGGGCCAGGACATCCAACTTCTTTTCATTCATAACATCAGCAATCATCTGTTTCTTGTCATCCGCACTACATCCACGCACTTTCAAGCATCCCAGTTTTATAAAGTTTTTCTTCTTCTCTTTTTTAGTAAATGTTTACAGGAGAAGGGGTTACTAGCCCATTGCTCCCGGCATTTTAGTCGCTTCATACGACACGCATGGCTTACGGAGGAAAGATTCTTTTCCACTTCCCCATGGACAATAGAAGAAATAAAAAACAAGAGCTATTTAGAAAAAGGAGAAAAAACCTAGATGTATGTTTATATATATGCATGTGCGTGTCCGTGAAGTGTGACCAAACTGTAAGTAGGAGTAGCAAGATATCCCTGTTATCTAGTGTGTTTATGAGACAGAAAAAGACACCAGCAATCCTACCATCATGTAAAACAGTTACAAGTTTCTGTTTCACAGTCATTCTTATAATATTGTAATATATATTGGAATATAAAAATAAAGCTAAATCGTGATACAAAGAACTTATGGTGCACTTGTACTTTGACTGATTTTGAGGGATCTTTTATTCCTACAGCATGGCCTGAGGCCAGGTTTCCTTGTTGGTCACTTGCCTTAAGATAAAATCACAAAATGAGAATAAATAGCACAAACTAGAATCGGTGATACTATACTTATGAGTTTGGAATTAGGTAGGACTAATTGCAGTTAGTAAATTACAATGTTAAATTTTCATTTAACTAATTTGACACTTGGGTAATGGAAATGCATGATTGGTTACTTCTAATTTGTATTTTAACCCAGTATCTGAGGTAATGCATCATGTATTCATTTACTTAGGTAGGTTATAACAAGTGAAAAAAATTATATGAAGAAGCTGTTATTTCTCTTATAAGCATTAATGTTTTGTAACTACTGGCAGTGAATGAGTTCTTACAGATGTAATGTACCATCTTTTCAATAAGAATATATTTAGAAAATTGTATAAAGTAATATGAAGAATTGATTTTTATATCTTTTGTTTTATTGCTTCTGTCATCATTTTCTTAAGATTTATTTTTTTATATATAAAACTGAAATATTTTCAGGGCATAAATGTGATTCTGTATTATTATTAAAGTGGATACTCGTAAGAAACTTTTGCAAGAATTAACTTTGGACTCTTGATGCAAAGTGGCTAATAACTAACAATAAAGGTAACTAACACTACATTTTTTTAGAATCCTGTTATTCTGTATTTTTTGTATAGTTATGATACTGTGCAGCTTGAAGGTTGTGTAATATAAATATTTGTTACTAGTGTTTATGTAGAACTGAAAGCAGATTTTTTTCATCTTTATATGGGTAATAAATGCTAATAAATTTATGAAATCCCTGTAATAACAGTCTTTAACTATTGTTTTCCTTATTTCCTTTTATTTAGTTATTTTAAGATGCTAGAAGGATAATTTACTATTGATAAGCTAAAGTCAACTCCCTTAGAAAGCTTTTCAACTGAAAAGGTGCATCCAAAATTTAATAGCATTTGGAAAGGCTTTCATAGTACATCCTATTCAATTTCTGATACAATTTTTCAATTGTATTTATGAAAAATTATGCATCAAGAGCTTTATAAGAGCTGGCTGTATATGCAAAAATATTCAAGATGCTGAAATATTGTGCTAAGATATCAGTGGGTATGGAAACTAAATTATCACTGAAACAATTTTTCTAGGGCATTTTAAAAAATCAACATCTAAGAATTTAGAATAATTCACTATCATTTACTTGACAAAATTAACATTTCAACATTTTAATAATTCTAAATATCCATCTAATCTCAATGACATAATTTACAAAAAGTTTTTAACATTTTGCTGCTTGAAAAAATCTTGCTTTTTTTAATTTCCTAGATCAACATGAAGTCACTTGAACATTTCCAGAATAAAATTCTGTATTTAATTGACACAGTTACTTTTTGCTGATGATACTGTGCTTATGGGAGATAAAGAAAAATTGCAAAGGTTAGTGGATGAGTTTGGGAATGTGTGTAAAGGTAGAAAGTTGAAAGTGAACATAGAAAAGAGTAAGGTGATGAGAGTATCAAATGATTTAGATAAAGAAAAATTGGATATCAAATTGGGGAGGAGGAGTATGGAAGAAGTGAATGTTTTCAGATACTTGGGAGTTGACGTGTCGGTGGATGGATTTATGAAGGATGAGGTTAATCGTAGAATTGATGAGGGAAAAAAGGTGAGTGGTGCGTTGAGGTATATGTGGAGTCAAAAAACGTTATCTATGGAGGCAAAGAAGGGAATGTATGAAAGTATAGTAGTACCAACACTCTTATATGGGTGTGAAGCTTGGGTGGTAAATGCAGCAGCGAGGAGATGGTTGGAGGCAGTGGAGATGTCCTGTTTAAGGGCAATGTGTGGTGTAAATATTATGCAGAAAATTCGGAGTGTGGAAATTAGGAAAAGGTGTGGAGTTAATAAAAGTATTAGTCAGAGGGCAGAAGAGGGGTTGTTGAGGTGGTTTGGTCATTTAGAGAGAATGGATCAAAGTAGAATGACATGGAAAGCATATAAATCTATAGGGGAAGGAAGGCGGGGTAGGGGTCGTCCTCGAAAGGGTTGGAGAGAGGGGGTAAAGGAGGTTTTGTGGGCAAAGGGCTTGGACTTCCAGCAAGCGTGCGTGAGCATGTTAGATAGGAGTGAATGGAGACGAATGGTACTTGGGACCTGACGATCTGTTGGAGTGTGAGCAGGGTAATATTTAGTGAAGGGATTCAGGGAAACCAGTTATTTTCATATAGTCGGACTTGAGTCCTGGAAATGGGAAGTACAATGCCTGCACTTTAAAGGAGGGGTTTGGGATATTGGCAGTTTGGAGGGATATGTTGTGTATCTTTATATGAGTATGCTTCTAAACTGTATTCTGAGCACCTCTGCAAAAACAGTGATAATGTGTGAGTGTGGTGAAAGTGTTGAATGATGATGAAAGTATTTTCTTTTTGGGGATTTTCTTTCTTTTTTGGGTCACCCTGCCTCAGTGGGAGACGGCCGACTTGTTGAAAAAAAAAAAAAAATTTAATTATACTGATTATCTTGTTTTCCCAGATGCTGTACAACTCATACTGGTTTAGCTCTTCCTCTCAAATATAATAACAAAACCCTATATCATTCAGCTAATTATATGTACTTGCAAAAAGCAGCCAGACAAGTACAGAGTACTGAAATACGGTACTAAATCTTCTTCTTTCAACAAACCGGCCGTATCCCACCAAGGCAGGGTGGCCCAAAAGGAAAAACGAAAGTTTTTTTTTATTATTATTATCACACTGGCCGATTCCCACAGAGGCAGGGTGGCCCGAGAAAGAAAAACTTTCACCATCATTCACTCCATCACTGTCTTGCCAGAAGGGTGCTTTACACTACAGTTTTTAAACTGCAACATTAACACCCCTCCTTCAGAGTGCAGGCACTGTACTTCCCATCTCCAGGACTCAAGTCCGGCCTGCCGGTTTCCCTGAACCCCTTCATAAATGTTACTTTGCTCACACTCCAACAGCACGTCAAGTATTAAAAACCATTTGTCTCCATTCACTCCTATCAAACACGCTCACGCATGCCTGCTGGAAGTCCAAGCCCCTCGCACACAAAACCTCCTTTACCCCCTCCCTCCAACCTTTCCTAGGCCGACCCCTACCCCGCCTTCCTTCCACTACAGACTGATACACTCTTGAAGTCATTCTGTTTCGCTCCATTTTCTCTACATTTCCGAACCACCTCAACAACCCTTCCGAAAGTTTCTCCTTTTAAATTTAGTAATAGGAGAAGGGGTTACTAGCCCCTTGCTCCCAGCATTTTAGTCGCCTCTTACGACGCTCATGGCTTACAGAGGAAGAATTCTGTTCCACTTCCCCATGGAGGACGGTACTAAATATTCTTTTAAAATAAAGTAAGTATAATACACAAGATTTTTACATTTTGGTATATTATTGGAAAATTATTAATATAATATATTGTTGATGGACCTGTCTTTATGATTACTGTAGACCCTTGGGGGTTTAGTGCTTATGAATATGGAGGTTTTAGGAAGAGTAGGGTATGTATAGTCCAAGTGTTTACATTTTACACTGAAGCATATAAGTGAAGAATAGATTTTGAAAAGGCATAAGATAGGATGGATAGGGAAGCAATGTGACAGATACTGCAAGGGGTATGGAATAGGTGGTAGGTTACTGAAAGCAATTAAGGGTTTTTATGAGAACAGTGAGGCTCAGGTTAAGGGTATGTAAGAGAGAGGGAGATTATTTTCCAGTAAGAGTAAGCTTTAGACGGGGATGCATGATGCCACCATGGTTGTTTAACATATTTATAAATGGGGTTGAAAAAGAAGTATATATTGAGAAGAGGTGTGAGATTATAATAGGCATAAATTGAATACAAAATAGAAGCTGTCACTGTTGCTTTTTTGCTGATGACACTGCTTCTGGGAGATTTTGAAGAGAAGCTGCAAAGGCTGGTGGACAAATTTGGGAAGGTATATAAAGGAAGGAAATTAAAAATGAACATAGAGCAAGGTAATGAGGATAACAAACAAGTTAGGAGATGAAAGACTAGATATCAGATTGGAAGGAGTGAGTATGGAGGAAGTGAATGTGAAATATGATAGTGAGTTATCCTGCTATGATAACAGATAAGATAAACTGCACAGAGCCTCTTTCATAGTGTTGGGAAGCACCTCAGACAAAACACTGTTCATTCTGGGATACTTTAAATCTCTTCTATTATGTTAAAAGTAAGTTACAATTTTTTTTATGCATTATGTGGTTTGAATAACATTTGATAAAAAATGTGTCAGTATGTATTTTTGAAAAAGGGATGATTAAGACTACTGAAAAAAAAAAATGATTCAATATTTGTCAGGCATTTTAAATACAGTGGAACCTCTGGTCACGATCATAATTCGTTCCAAAACTCTGGTCACGACCCGATTTGGTCATCACCCGAACCTAATTTTCCCATTGGATTGTATGTAAATATGATTAATCCATTCCAAACCCCTATGAACTGTATGTAAATATTGTCTTTTTAAGATTTTTAAGCACAAAAATAGTTAATTATACCACAGAATGCATAGTGTAATACTAAATGTAAAATCCTTGAATAGCACTGAGAAAACCTTGAACAACAAAGAAAACTAACATCGCACGAGTCCATTGTAAACTCTTCAGCCTTCACGAATTCAGCGAAATCTTTTGCGAATGCTTCCGCAGCAGCAGCATCAGAACTAGCAACCTCTCCATCCCTTACCATGCTATGAATGTGATTTCTCTTATGAAATTTTACAAACCGTCTTCTACTGACTTTAAATTCATCACTTTCTGCATTGTAGATGGGTAATTCTGCCGCAAATCACTGTGTATCTTCCTGGCTTTCTCGCATATGATCTCGCTTATGCTATCACCTACAGGTTGCATCTCATTCAACCACACTAACAACAGTTTCTTCACCTCTTCCCCTCATGGGAGGTTCCTTGATGCTGGTGAGGGGCTCCTGATCTAAGGAATTGGCTCTGTGCTCCAGTTCCTTGAATTGAGCTTGAATGCCTTCCATCCCTTCCCCACATGCGCTGTATAATCCTATGCATTTAGTGTTCCCCAATGATTATAATAATAATCTTCACCTCTTCCAGCACTTAAGAACATAAGAAAGAAGGAACACTGCAACAGGCCTACTGACCCATACGGAACAGGTCCATGTCCCCCCCCAGATTAGTCCAATGACCCCCCCCTGGATTAGCCCAATGACCCACCCGGTCTAGTCACCTCCACTCAAGGAAGGAGCACAGCACCAGACCCAGCAGCACAAGCTAGTCAGGTCCAACTCACACCCACCCACACCCACTCATGTATTTATCTAACCTATTTTTAAAACTACACAACGTTTTAGCCTGAATAACTGTACTTGAGAGTTTGTTCCACTCATCCACAACTCTATTACCAAACCAGTGCTTTCCTATATCCTTCCTGAATCTGAATTTTTCCAACTTGAAACCATTGCTGCAAGTCCTGTCTTGGCTGGAAATTTTCAGCACACTATTTACATCCCCTTTATTTATTCCTGTTTTCCATTTATACACCTCGATCATATCCTCCCTAATTCTATGCCTTTTGAGAGAGTGCAGATTCAAGGTCCTCAGTCTATCCTCATAGGGAAGATTTCTGATACATGGGATCATCTTTGTCATCCTCCTCTGTACGTTTTCCAGAGCATTTAGTATATCCATTCTGTAATACGGTGACCAGAACTGAGCAGCATAGTCTAAATGAGGCCTAACCAAGGATATATAGAGTTGAAGAACAACCTGAGGACTTGAGGCCTCTGCTTGGTTAACATAGTACGTAACTCCCTTAGCAACATTAGCAGTTTTAATAGCCGCTCTCTGCTTCAGAATAGTCGACATCATAGACTTCGGCTTTTTGAACTCCGCAGTAAGAACGGTAACACGCATACCACGCTCATACTTTCCAATAATTTCCTTCACTTCTATTTCAATTTTCTTCAAACCTTTCTTTTTATCCACATTACCACTCTTCACTTGCTTAGGGGCCATGATTAATTGTAAAATGAATTAAAAAACTTACAAAATACAACACAAGGAGTTCACAGCGAATGAACGCACATCTGACTGAGACTGACTACGAGGCAAGGTGTACACAAACAACAGGAAGTGGGGAAAATTGGCCCGTGTAAAAAAAATGGCACAGAATGTGAAAATTAGCGCAGCTGTGTTTGTTTGGCACCCGATTATGTGTTCGTGACCAGATGCAAAAATTTGGCGAATTCTTTGGTCGTGAACCGATTTGTTCATGTTCAGAAGCGTTCGTGACCAGAGGTTCCACTGTACTGATCAGCTGTTTTGATTAATAGTGCAGTACTGGTAAGGGAAGGGTTGGGTGGATGGATGAGTAATCACCTCTCATTGACTAGTAGGTTGCCAGACTAGCTTATTGGGCAGACACAGACTGAGTTGTGTGTAGCATGTTCTCACTTATGGTGTTTACACTATTTTTTGTTTGTGTATGTATGTGATTGCATACATTTGTGCTCACATACTGTATGACCCTTGTGGGTTTAGTGCTTAATTCTGATTGATTGTGCTTGCCTATATGTACTCACAGAGGTCCAGTCTCAGCTCTTGGCTCTGCCTTTCTCGGGCCACTACTAAGTTCTCTTTCCTGGCTTTGAGAGCCTTACCATACCTCTTCTTAAAGATACATAAGGATCCTGGCTGTACCACTTCTTGACTATTCGTAAAGCTGAGCAAATACTTCCTAACATCACTATGGCCCATCCAAATTTTCAACTTCTAACTGTGACCATGCATTCCTGTTTTCCATTTCTCAAACAGATACCTCAACATGAAACCTACCTCATTCCTCCTTATCTATTCTATGATTCCTCTCGTCTTTCATAGGTTCATCTGCCAATACATCCACCACAAATATCTAAATACACATTCACTTCTTACATTTGCTTTCCCTCCAGTCTAATGCCCAGTCTTATGGCCTAGATATTTTGTTACTCTCAGGGGTCATCCCACAGTCACTAAAAATGACATAGCCCCACCACGAAGGTGGCATTAAAGCAATTGCAAAGAATTACAGACCAATAGCACTAATGTCCCACATCATGAAAACCTTTGAAAGGGTTAGTAAGTAAAGTGAGTGAATTTATTTAGGTACAGGTACACATAAATAGTTACATTAGTTATCATACATAGCAGCATATGTGTAATTGCCTAGGATAACCCAAAAAGAAGTTGGATAAAGTAACTTATTTCCAGTGGGGTCCTTGTAATACCTTATTATTGAAACCTTAAAAGTTAAAACAGGTAACTTAAATATGTGAAAAGCAGTTACAATAAAAGGAGATATAAGGGTTCTAAGAAGCAAGATTGCCAACCACTTGCATACTCGTCATTTACACATCCCAGAGCAGCATGGGTTTAGGGCAGGTCACCCCTGCCTATGCCAACTACTGGACCACTATGACATGGTCATAGATGCAATGGAGGATAAATCAAATGCAGATGTAATGTACACAGATTTTACAAAGGCCTTCGACATGGTGTTATAGCACACAAAATGCTTGATAAAGGAATAACAGGAAAAACTGGTATATGGATCTATAACTTCCTAACAAACAGAACAGAAAGAGTAATAGTAAACAGAGTCAAGTCAGAGGCGGCTACAGTGAAAACCTCTGCTCCACAAGATACAGTACTTGATCCCATCCTGTTCTTCATCCTCATATCTGATATAGACAGAGATGTAAGCCACAGCATCAAGTCTTCCTTTGTGGATGACACCCAAATCTGCATGACAGTGTCATCCATCGAAGACTGCAAGTCTCCTTGAGGACATCAACCAAACCTTTAAATGGGCCGTAGAAAACAATGTGAAGTTCAGTGAAGGCAAATTTCAATTACTCAAAAACTCAAGGAAATTGAAACTATATCGGAGTATAAAACAATTTTCAACTACACAACAGAGTGAAAAACTAATGTGAAGGACCTGGGAGTGATAATGTCAGTGGATCTCACTTTGAAAGATCACAACACTGTATCTACCACATCTGCTAGGAAAATGGCAGCATGGACAATGAGAACCTTCAAAACTAGGGATGCCAAGCCCTTGATTCTCTTCAAATAGCTTGCTCTCTTTAGGCGCTGGAATATTGCTGTACACTAACGGCCCCTTTCAAGGCAGGCGAAATTGCAGAGCTGGAGAATATACAGAGAACTTTCTTGGCACTTGTGAGTATGGCAAAGTCCCTTGATTTGTACTCCCTGGAGTGCAGGCAAGAAAGATGCATGACAATATACACTTGGAAAATCCTAGAGGGACTAGTCCCAAATCTGGACACGAAAATCACTCCCTACAAAAAGAAAAGACTTGGCAAGAGATACAACATTCCCCCCAATGAAAAGCAAGGGGCACCACGAGTACGCTAAGAGACAACAAAAGTGTCAGGGGGCCCAAGACTGTTCAACTTCCTCCCAGATTATATAAGGGGGATTACCAATAGACCCCTGGCTGTCTTCAAGGTGCTGGACAGGCACCTAAAATCAGTGCCTGGCCAGCTGGGCTGTGGCTCTTATGTAGGTCTGTGTGTGGCCAGCAGCAGTAAGAGCCTGGCAGATTAAGCCCTAATCCACCATGAGACCTGGTCATGAATGGGGCCTCATGACCTCTGAAACCCCTTCCAGGTATACCTTACTATTTTCTATAGTGAATTTTAATTTTCTTCCACATCCTCCCAAACTCCTCCAAAAACCTTTGCAACTTCTGATCAGAATCTCCCCAAAGTGCGCATAACAGAGATAAAACACCTCAGTTACTGGGAGCGCTTGAAGTTCCTGAACCTGTACTCCCTGGAATGCAGGCAGGAGAGATACATAATTATATACACCTGGAAAATCCTAGAGGGACTAGTACCGAACTTGCACACGAAAATCACTCACAACGAAAGTAAAAGACTCGGCAGACGATGCAACATCCCCCCAATGAAAATCAGGGGTGTCACTAGCACGTTAAGAGACAACACAATAAGTGTCAGGGGCCCGAGACTGTTCAACTGCCTCCCAGCATACATAAAGGGGATTATCAATAGACCCCTGGCTGTCTTCAAGCTGTCACTGGACAAGCACCTAAAGTCGGTACCTCACCAGCCGGGCTGTGGCTCGTACGTCGGATTGCGTGCAGCCAGCAGTAACAGCCTGGTTGATCAGGCTCTGATCCACCAGGAGGCCTGGTCACAGACCGGGCCGCGGGGGCGTTGACCCCCGGAACTCTCTCTAGGTAAACTCCAGTGTGTCATCAACTTTCTCTAACTTCCTTCTTACTACAACATTAAAATATTATGGCTCTCACCCATACAAAATTGATGGTCTATGTACTCTGGTAAATTCCTCTTATTTAATCCATTAATAAACATCTAATTTATACTTCATAGTTTTTACATTTAGATAAAAGATGAATAAACTTTATCGTTATATTTTTCAGAATTTATAATAAACTGTCTATATTTATTTCATTTACCATTTTGTTTTCATGTTAATTATTTTCTTATTTGGTGTGGCCTGTGCAGGGTGTGGTGTCAATGGTGGGTGGCGGAGCGTCTGGCCTAGGAAGAGCCACCGTGGAGAGGGTCATCAGGGAGGGAGCCGAGCTGTCATCTGTGACCTCCCAACCTCACAAGGAGCTAAAGTTGCTTCTGAGCTTGGTGATCATGTCCTATTTGCTCCTACTGATGTTAGTAGCCTGATGTAAATATGGCATATGATTTTTGTTATAAATATTGCTTGAAAACTGTAAAATGCATTTCTGTGTATGGACCCTGGAGCCCAATGGGAACACAACTCACACTTTTTGACACCAGATACTTACCTCTCTGGGCCCCAGCAGGATCCCTTAGATACTTTTAGACTCTGCATGTTATTATTATGTGTGCAATTCAGTGGGTGTACCTTAATAATACTGAAGGGCTCCAGACCTAAGGTATTGGAACTACTCTTCCTATCCTTGAATCATACTTGATTACTTCCCGTTCACCAGGCAATGTATGACCTCTGTAGGTTTAGCACTTCCCAATGAATGCAATACACGTGGCAGCACCCATTAGCCACCCCAAGAACCTCACTAATTTCGAGGGGTCCTCTAATAGTTTCCGAAAACAGCCTGTTGAGTCAATTATGTAAATCATGAAAGGTTAGGGTCAGTTTTCACAAAGGGTTTATGAATCCCCTGAAGAGATAAAAACCCCGTAATTAAACTTCACCTTACCTCGGGGCAAATTTTAGGAGACACCATGTGTCCACGGACAGGAACAGATGTGTGATCTACAATAGCATCTCATTTATACAAGAAATCCCAACGGGTCCAGGTGCATCAAGAAGAGGACCTAGTTTCAAACCTTAGCCAAAGATGACCCGGTAACCCATTAACCTTCCAGCTCCTGCACCCAACATCTTGCTCCTGGGGGATTTCAACTTAAGGCACCTAAAATGGAGGAATAAAACAAATAATGTTGTTGCAGTGATAACACCAGGAGGCAGCTCTGACGAGAACTCATACACATGAGCTTTTAAATCTCTGCACAAAATTCAACTTAAACCAGTAAATAATAGAGCCTACTAGATTGGAGAATACACTGGACCTCATCTTTACTAACAATGATGATCTGATACAATATACTCGGATCACAACATAATCGAGGTTCAGACATGTATGCGCGGAGCCCCAGACCGACAAAATGGGATCAGTCACCAGGGAGCCTTTACCAAATTCAAATTCAATAACAAGAACATAAAGTGGGACCAAGTAAACCAAGTCCTAAATGATATAAGCTGGGAAGATAGACTAAGCAACAAAGCAACACATACCCCAACTTATGCCTAGAATAGATTAACTCTGTGGCACTCGATGTATGCTCAAGGCATATTCCTTTAAGAAAAAGGAGGAGTAGATGTAAAACAGAAAGAGACAGGCGCTCCCTTTACAGGCGACGGAAAAGAATAACAGAGCGGCTAAAAGAGGACAATATATCTGCAATGCGTAGGGAGACACTGGTCAGAGAAATAGCAAACATCGAACTTAAGCTAAAGGAATCTTATAAGAGTCAGGAATCACGGGAAGAACTAAAAGCCATAAATGAAATCGAAAGAAACCCAAAGTATTTCTTTTCTTGTGCCAAATCAAAGTCGAGAACAACATCCAGTATTGTGCCCCTACTTAAACAAGATGGGTTTTACACAGATGACAGCAAGGAAATGAGTGAGCTACTCAAGTCCCAATATGACTCAGTTTTTAGCAAGCCACTAACCAGACTGAGAGTCGAAGATCTAAATGAATTTTTTATGAGAGAGCCGCTGTATAGCCCTTGTGGCTTAGCGCTTCTTTTTTGATTATAATAATAATAATGAGAGAGCCACAGAATTTGGTAAACGCAAGCCTATCTGATGTTATCCTGACACCAAATGACTTCGAACAGGCGATAAATGACATGCCCGTGCACTCTGCCCCAGGCCCAGACTCATGGAACTCCGTGTTCATCAAGAACTGCAAGAAGATCCTATCACGTGCTTTTAACATCCTATGGAGAGGGAGCATGGACACAGGGGTCGTCCCACAGTTACTAAAAACAACAGACATAGCCCCATTCCACAAAGGGGGCAGTAAAGCAATAGCAAAGAACTACAGACCGATAGCGTTAACATCCCACATCATAAAAATATTTGAAAGGGTCCTAAGAAGCAAGATCGCCACCTATCTAGATACCCATCAATTGCACAACCCAGGACAACATGGGTTTAGAGCAGGTCGCTCCTGTCTGTCCCAACTACTGGACAACTACGACAAGGTCCTAGATACACTAGAAGACAAAAATAATGCAGATGTAATATACACAGACTTTGCAAAAGCCTTTGACAAGTGTGACCTTGGCGTAATAGCGCACGCAACGCGTGCTAAAGGAATAACAGGAAAAGTTGGTAGGTGGATCTATAACTTCCTCACAAATAAAACACAAAGAGTAGTAGTCAACAGAGTAAAGTCCGAGGCAGCTACGGTGAAAAGCTTTGTTCCACAATTCACAGTACTCACTCCCATCTTGTTTCTCACCCTCATATCTGACATAGACAAGGATGTCAGCCACAGCACCGTGTCTTCCTTTGCAGATGACACCCGAATCTGCATGACAGTGTCTTCCATTGCAGACACTGCAAGGCTCCAGGCGGACATCAACCAAATCTTTCATTGGGCTGCAGAAAACAATATGAAGTTCAACGATGAGAAATTTCAATTACAGTGGACCCCCGCTTAATGATCGCCTCCAAATGCGACCAATTATGTAAGTGTATTTATGTAAGTGCGTTTGTACGTGTATGTTTGGGGGTCTGAAATGGACTAATCTACTTCACAATATTCCTTATGGGAAAAAATTCGGTCAGTACTGGCACCTGAACATACTTCTGGAATGAAAAAAGTTTGTTAACCGGGGGTCCACTGTACTCCGATATGGTAAACATGAGGAAATTAAAACTTCATCAGAGTATAAAACAAATTCCAGCCACACAATAGAGCGAAAAACTAACGTCAAAGACCTGGGAGTGATCATGTCGGAGGATCTCACCTTCAAGAACCATAACATTGTATCAATCGCATCTGCTAGAAAAATGACAGGATGGATAATGAAAACTTTCAAAACTAGGGAGGCCAAGCCCATGATGACACTCTTCAGGTCACTTGTTCTATCTAGGCTGGAATATTGCTGCACACTAACAGCACCTTTCAAGGCAGGTGAAATTACTGACCTAGAAAATGTACAAAGAACCTTCACAGCATGCATAACGGTGATAAAACACCTCAATTACTGGGAGCGCTTGAAGTTCCTGAACCCGTACTCCCTGGAACGCAGGCGGGAGAGATACCTGAGTATATACACCTTGAAAATCCTAGAGGGACTAGTACCAAACTTGCACACGAAAATCACTCTCTCCGAAAGCAAAAGGCTCGACAGATGATGCAACATCCCCCCAATGAAAAGCAGGGGTGTCACTAGCACGCTAAGAGACAACACAATAAGTGTGAGGGGCCCAAGACTGTTTAACTGCCTCCCAGCATACATAAGGGGGATTACCAATAGACTCCTGGCTCTCTTCAAGCAGGCACTGGACAAGCACCTAAAGTCGGTACCTGACCAGCTGGGCTGTGGTTCGTATGTTGGATTGCGTGCAGCCAGCAGTAACAGCCTGGTTGATCAGGCCCAGTTCCACCATGAGGCCTGGTCACAGACTGGGCCGCGGGGGCGTTGACCCCCGGAACTCTCTCCAGGTAAACTCCAGGAAGGAGCCATACCGTTATACTGAACAGAGAAGGACTTGCCCATATGCAGATGACTGTCATTCAACAAGATTTAGCCATCAAGATCAAGGAACCGGAAACCAGTCTTGATGCTTAGAATTAGGCTCGCATGGTTATCACACGTGAAGAGCTGAAATCAGTAACTGACACCAGAATCACCCGTTTGCTGAGTCCTGGGACAGAGTTGTCTGATGGAGAAGGACCATGTCTCATGCCACGCCTCTTGCCTCCCCACCCCTTTCCTTTTTCGCAAGGCAGGGAACCAAGGCTGAATGGAAACAGTTAACATGCAATGAGTGCATAGTTGTATAATGCTGGATATCACCTTGAGCAAATACACTGGAGATAAGAGAGGCATGTATCTGAGCTCCTGCCAGAGTCATATCCATTGCAGCTGTTGACTGGCTTGGGAATGTCATGACAATGATAGTAAATATGCATCTGGTAAATTTGGCAGAGAAGTCCACATCCTAGCAGTGTGGTTTAACTCCAGTGGAGTCCTTTTTATGTGATCTCCCAGATGAGACCAACAACTATTAACTCCTGGTATCTAATTACTGCTAGGTAACGGGGACAGCAAGTGTTAGGAGACTTGCTCATTTGTCTCGCTTTGTACGAAATTTGACCTAGGATGTCAGTTGAGTGCGCTTAACATTGCATTGTGAGGTTCCTCCACAAAGAGAGAGATGCAAAACCTCGAACTAATAACGTGTGGGGTAAGCTTGACATGAGAAAAGAGAGAGAGCAGCCCAATGGAAAAACAACGAAGCACTTCAAATTATGATTCATGACCTATGATACATCCATATTATAATGTATTACATTCATGGATAGCGGTAAACTTGTAGGGGTTATAATGCCCCTAGGGAATGGGAAGCAATCAGATTCGATCCAAGTAAAGGAAAAAGATCAAGAGCCATAAAAGGTTCTTAATATGAGGAAGGAGCTTGGTATTTCTAGTATCAGTGATAGGATTGTTGAAATTAACACTGTACTCGGTATTAGAATGTTAAGAAATGAACCAGACACTGCCACAATGAATCTTACTAAGTGTCTCGATCTAAATACACACAGATCTAAATGGATTGTGAAAACGTGCAATTGCATTAAGTTTTATAACCTGCATGAACTGTATCACTGTAGACAACAAGAGCATTTCACCCCACCATGGAAGATGTGTTCATTTAATATCACATACCTGCAAGTCCCTCCCAAGAAACTCATTGCTAGTAATCCCTTCCTTAAATCACTTGTTAAAGCAACTGCTCAAGAAGAAATTTCTTACCTAGCTGGTAGTAATAAGTTATCACAAGTTATATACACTGATGGATCTAAACAGGAGTCTTCTGGCAGGGCTACATCTGCTCTTGTTGCCACCTCCCTAGTTAAGAACGATACTAAACTTGTTGAACTAGGCATAAAAATTAACAACTGGGTGTTTACATTGCAAATTGAACTGTTTGCAATCCTAATGGCGCTAAAGCTAACTTATGACACTGAGCTTGACTCTATCATCATTACTGATTCTATGTCATCACTGAATGCTCTTAACTCATATAATGACTCCAACAACATGCTCATTGGAGAAGCCAGGTATAGATACTAAAAAATCAGGGACAAAGGAATTAATGTACAATTGCTATGGATCCCATCATACATTGGATTACTCCTTCATGATAAAGTTGATATGTTAGCCAAGAAGAGTACCCAGAAGGAGAATGTAGAATATAACTCTGGTATATCTGTGTCTAGCATTAGGAATAATATTAAGAGAGAAGTAAATAATGAAAATGATTGTTATTGGAATGCAGTTAGAAGTCTTAGTAGATCTATAACCCACTATGATAACATGAACATAGATAAGTATGTTTATGGAGCAACTTGAAATGTGAACAGACTGACTGATGTTGTAGTGGCCAGGCTTAGGCTTTGTTACAAGTGCTTCTGGCAGTTTGGGAGACGCAGATGATGATCAAATTAAATGTAAATTATGTTATCAGGCATATGGTCACTGTCTTGAGCACTATGTGCTTAATTGTCCACTTATTGGGAATACAGAGATAGACAGTATAATAACCTATGTGACATGTCAAGATATCTTATTAATGAAAATAAGATACCAGATATACTAAGCAAATTTCCTAAATTTGCTTGTAACAGATAAGTGAACTATATATATGTAGATATAAATCTTTATGTATTCCTGTTAACCCTTTGAGGCCTAGTTCCTAGGCCTTTTGTGTATCCATATGCTCTTGCACTACCGTCCCTTCACCAGCATCAATGGAGACCCACCAGAACAACTAAGGAATCAAACTGTTGAAGACCTCATCGTCTTCCTTGCTGACCAACAGTGAGCAGACTGCCCTTTCACGGGCGGTGGACTAAACCCATTCTGTGATGGAGATCAACTATATGGAGACTCTACAAGAGAAATTCCAGTTGTCCACTGACCAATGAGCCAAGTGTCCAAGGGAAGTGGGCCTAGGCCAGAAGAAAGTTAAAAGGTACAAGGTTTACCTTGGGGTCAAGGAAGCAAAGGGAGGGGGTGCATGCCTACTTGACAAGCACCAGCTAGGCCCAATAACAGAGGTCATTTCAAATTCACAACATGTGAAAACTGAACCTGGACGTTTCCCCACACCAAACATTCGGCAGGACCCCGCGCTCTTGGACGAAGCAACTCGGCCAGACAAGAAGCAGAGAAAATAGGCCTTCCAGTGAACACCAAGCTTGTGTGCTGAGCAGAGCAAATGAAATATCCCTTTCTTGGATCCCAGAAGAGCAGAAAAAACTAGGGACGGAAAGACTTAAATGCCGGTTATAGAACTATCCATCAAGTGCGAGATAATGAGGTTGCCAACTGAAAATCAGATCTGCGAGGATTGCTAGAGGGCTCTGGCCACAACTGAGCAACGACATGGAAATGGAAGCAGGCCTTCCATTTGCACGGAAGCATTTTTTTGTGAGAATGTAAGTTTTGTTCAAAGAGGGCCCCAGGACACCACCACAGAAAGATTCATTTGATGGTAAACAGTGATAGCAACTGATGCATTATTTCAAATATATATATTTTACTGTATCTGTGCCTGTTGTAAATGTTTTTAAAAATTCTTATTGTAACGTTACCTATGATAGCCTAGTGGCGAGAGTAGCGGCAGTCATCAGACCGGCTGGGAATATTCGATCTCTGGCCAGAAAAAAATCTTTGAATCAGTAATTATCATGAATGTCCACACTTCAGGTAACATCTACAGCTGATGTGGAGGAGGCATTAGCCCTGTGCAAGGAAGAATTTGGTCGTTTAGACGTAGTTGTGAACTGTGCCGGGATAAGTATGGCTGCCAAGGTGTTCAACCATAACAAAAAATTATCTCATTCTCTCGACGATTTCAAGAGAATCCAAACGGTAGGATTATGTTGTTGCTCTTGATTTACTTATTATTGTTGTTCATTTCATCAAGTGTCTTTTGTTAATTAATTTACAAATCTATCAATAACACTTAACCTGTGGAAAATACTGTATATATTTTCCGGAAATACGGTAATTTATAGGTAAATAGATGCCCTATATTGTATTTTTAAAAGAAGTATGATATCGAAAATGGGAAACCTGCGGCTGGGGGAGTCAGTCGCCATTTTGTTTGAATTTGTATTAGAACGTTGGTGAAATGGGAAGAATTTTTAGTGCTTTAGAGGTTAAAATTGGGCTGACACCTCTCAAATAGGAGGCGAAATTGGTGGATATGCATTCCTGCATAACTTGAGATATCAGGCGACTGGACAAGACCTCTCCAGGAACCTCAGATAAGCTCTCTAGATTTGTGTGTAATTCTGGCCAGCATTATTTTCATAGATTTAGTTAGAGTGAGGTTTTCTGAGTATGATACACATTAATCTCCAGTCAAATTGGTGAGTGATATTAAGATATATTTTCCTTGTTATTATGCAAACTCCCTTCCTGTAAGCTTTTTCACCCTGAAATGTGTACCTCTTCAGTACAGGAAAGACTGTGCTATAACTTAAATTGCCAGGCACACCATCTAAAGGGAACAAAAAGATACAAAACATCCAGGCCATGGGAAAACCTGGGTAGCCGCAGCCACTCAAGAGGGAGAGGTTTTTTAGTGCCAGAAAGGAAAAAAAACTGGCAGGAAATGGCAGAAATCGTACACCAAATCCAGTCATTCCTGGAGTGGAACCACAGTCGATGGCCTCCACTCCCAACCAATAGATACAGATACTAATGCCGGAAAAAGAATCCCCCCCAGTACCAACAATACCACCAGTCCGATGACATTCTTCTTTGCAAATATACAGGGTCTAAAGCCAGCAACAAACAACAAAATACCTTTCATCCGTGGACTGCTTGCAGAGGCAAAGGCAATTTTCGTGGCTTTCACTGAGACCCACATAAAGGATCACTTGGACAACGAAATATGGATCCCAGGTTACAACCTATACAGATGTGACAGAGTGAACAGGCAAAAAGGGGGGGGGGGGTTGGCCTGTACATTGCAGAGTCACTTGTTTGTACAGAACTGCTTAATGCCTCAAATGATGTAGTGGAAGTTTTAGCAGTAAAGGTCGAGAACCAAAACCTAGTCATTGTGGTAATCTACAAGCCTCCGGATGCAACATATCAGCAATTCCAGGAACAGCTGTTAAAAATTGACCACTGTCTGGAAAATCTTCCAGCTCCTGCACCCAACATCTTGCTCCTGGGGGATTTCAACTTAAGGCACTTAAAATGGAGGAATATAGCAAATAATATTGTTGCAGTAATAACACCAGGAGGCAGCTCTGATGAAAACTCACACTCACACGAGCTTTTAAATCTCTGCACAAAATTCAATTTAAACCAGCAAATAATTACCTGGAGTTTACCTGGAGAGAGTTCCGGGGGTCAACGCCCCCGCGGCCTGGTCTGTGACCAGGCCTCCTGGTGAATCAGAGCCTGATCAACCAGGCTGTTGCTGCTGGCTGCACGCAAACCAACGTACGAGCCACAGCCCGGCTAATCAGGAACCGACTTTAGGTGCTTGTCCAGTGCCAGCTTGAAGACTGCCAGGGGTCTGTTGGTAATCCCCCTTATGTATGCTGGGAGGCAGTTGAACAGTCTCGGGCCCCTGACACTTATTGTATGGTCTCTTAACGTGCTAGTGACACCACTGCTTTTCATTGGGGGGATGTTGCATCGTCTGCCAAGTCTTTTGCTTTCGTAGTGAGTGATTTTCGTGTGCAAGTTTGGTACTAGTCCCTCTAGGATTTTCCAGGTGTATATAATCATGTATCTCTCCCGCCTGCGTTCCAGGGAATACAGGTTTAGGAACCTCAAGCGCTCCCAGTAATTGAGGTGTTTTATCTTCGTTATGCGCGCCGTGAAAGTTCTCTGTACATTTTCTAGGTCGGCAATTTCACCTGCCTTGAAAGGTGCTGTTAGTGTGCAGCAATATTCCAGGTTAGATAGAACAAGTGACCTGAAGAGTGTCATCATGGGCTTTGCCTCCCTAGTTTTGAAGGTTCTCATTATCCATCCTGTCATTTTTCTAGCAGATGCGATTGATACAATGTTATGGTCCTTGAAGGTGAGATCCTCCGACATGATCACTCCCAGGTCTTTGACGTTGGTGTTTCGCTCTATTTTGTGGCCAGAATTTGTTTTGTACTCTGATGAAGATTTAATTTCCTCGTGTTTACCATATCTGAGTAATTGAAATTTCTCATCGTTGAACTTCATATTGTTTTCTGCAGCCCACTGAAAGATTTGGTTGATGTCCGCCTGGAGCCTTTGCAGTGTCTGCAATGGAAGACACTGTCATGCAGATTCGGGTGTCATCTGCAAAGGAAGACATGGTGCTGTGGCTTACATCCTTGTCTATTAAAATGGTATAAAATACCGACAGGTTGTTAGGTAAGACACATATGCAACAGTTAGGTGTCTTTATTATGATACCTAACTGTTGCATATGTGTCTTACCTAACATCCTTGTCTATGTCAGATATGAGGATGAGGAACAAGATGGGAGCGAGTACTGTGCCTTGTGGAACAGAGCTTTTCACCGTAGCTGCCTCGGACTTTACTCTGTTGACGACTACTCTCTGTGTTCTGTTAGTGAGGAAATTATAGATCCATCGACCGACTTTTCCTGTTATTCCTTTAGCACGCATTTTGTGCGCTATTACGCCATGGTCACTCTTGTCGAAGGCTTTTGCAAAGTCTGTATATATTACATCTGCATTCTTTTTGTCTTCTAGTGCATTTAGGACCTTGTCGTAGTGATCCAATAGTAGAGACAGACAGGAGCGACCTGTTCTAAACCCATGTTGCCCTGGGTTGTGTAACTGATGGGTTTTTAGATGGGTGGTGATCTTGCTTCTTAGGACCCTTTCAAAGATTTTTATGATATGGGATGTTAGTGCTATTGGTCTGTAGTTCTTTGCTGTTGCTTTACTGCCCCCTTTGTGGAGTGGGGCTATGTCTGTTGTTTTTAGTAACTGTGGGCGCGACCCCCATGTCCATGCTCCCTCTCCATTGAATGGAAAAGGCTCGTGATAGGGGCTTCTTGCAGTTCTTGATGAACACGGAGTTCCATGAGTCTGGCCCTGGGACAGAGTGCATGGGCATGTCATTTATCGCCTGTTCGAAGTCATTTGGCGTCAGGATAACATCGGATAGGCTTGTGTTAATCAAATTTTGTGGCTCTCTCATAAAAAATTCATTTTGATCTTCAACTCTCAGTCTGGTTAGCGGCTTGCTAAAAACTGAGTCATATTGGGACTTGAGTAGCTCACTCATTTCCTTGCTGTCATCTGTGTAGGACCCATCTTGTTTAAGTAGGGGCCCAATACTGGACGTTGTTCTCGACTTTGATTTGGCATAGGAGAAGAAATACTTTGGGTTTCTTTCGATTTCATTTATGGCTTTTAGTTCTTCCCGCGATTCCTGACTCCTATAAGATTCCTTTAGCTTAAGTTCGATGCTTGCTATTTCTCTGACCAGTGTCTCCCTACGCATTTTAGATATATTGACCTCTTTTAGCCGCTCTGTTATTCTTTTCCGTCGCCTGTGAAGGGAGCGCCTGTCTCTTTCTATTTTACATCTACTCCTCCTTTTTCTTAGAGGAATAAGCCTTGTGCATACATCGAGTGCCACCAAGTTAATCTGTTCTAGGCATAAGTTGGGGTCTGTGTTGTTTAGTATATCTTCCCAGCTTATATTGGTTAGGACTTGGTTTACTTGGCCTCACTTTATGTTTTTGTTATTGAAGTTGAATTTGGTGAATGCTCCCTCGTGACTAGTCTCATTATGTCGGTCTGGGGCTCCACGCATACATGTCTGAACCTCAATTATGTTGTGATCTGAGTATATTGTTTTTGATATGGTGACATTTCTTATCAGATCATCATTGTTAGTGAAGATGAGGTCTAGTGTATTCTCCAGTCTAGTAGGCTCTATTATTTGCTGGTTTAAATTGAATTTTGTGCAGAGATTTAAAAGCATGTGTGAGTGTGAGTTTTCATCAGAGCTGCCTCCTGGTGTTATTACTGCAACAATATTATTTGCTATATTCCTCCATTTTAGGTGCCTTAACTTGAAATCCCCCAGGAGCAAGATGTTGGGTGCAGGAGCTGGAAGATTTTCCAGACAGTGGTCAATTTTTAACAGCTGTTCCTGGAATTGCTGGGATGTTGCATCTGGAGGCTTGTAGACTACCACAATGACTAGGTTTTGGTTCTCGACCTTTACTGCTAAAACTTCCACTACATCATTTGAGGCATTAAGCAGTTCTGTGCAAACAAGTGACTCTGCAATGTAATAGAGCCTACTAGACTGGAGAATACACTAGACCTCATCTTCACTAACAATGATGATCTGATAAGAAATGTCACTCAAATCAAAAACAATATACAGTGGACCCCCGCATAACGATGGCATCACATAGCGATTAATTCGCATACCGCTTGCTTTAATCGCAAAAATTTTGCCGCGCATACCGATTAAAAACCCGCTCAACGATTTTCGTCCGAGACGCGTCCAATGTGCGCCCTCAGCCAGCCTCACATGTGCCGCCCGTGCCATTGTTTACCAGCCAGCCTCCGCGGTAACATCCAAGCATACACTCGGAATATTTCGTATTATTACAGTGTTTTCGGTGCTGTTTCTGGAAAATAAGTGACCATGGGCCCCAAGAAAGCTTCTAGTGCCAACCGTACACCAATAAGGGTGAGAATTCCCATTGAAATGAAGAAAGAGATCATTGATAAGTATGAAAGTGGAGTGCGTATCGCCGACCTAGTCAAGTTGTACAAGAAACCCCAATCAACCATCACTACTATTGTGGCACCAGAAAGACAATCAAGGAAGCTGTTCTTGCCAAAGGTTTAACTGTGTTTTCGAAACAAAGA